TATAAGATTAACTAAAATCTACACAGTTTTGCCACCTATTAATAAATTCATTATCCCAATTAAAACAAAATCGTGAGACTTCAGCAGCGACAGAATCGTTGACGGATATGTATTCCTCGTGCAGGAAGTTGCTTTGATGCTGAAGAAGTTGGAATCGATAGGTGACAGGTCTAGTGAGTATGGTAGACGAAAAGGGTTTCGTATTCCAACTCGTTCAACTTTCGAAGCGTTGCTTGTACGATCTATCACCTTGTGTTATCGTTAAGAAGTATTAGTTCGTTTATATTGACTTATGCGGGATGCAACCGTTGAGCTATCTTATACATTTTGTCATTGTCCAACACACTTCTATATTGAAATCCCATTGCCTGGAATGAGGGAACCTGTGATAGACCAAACCAGTTGCAAACAACGAGAAGGTCATCATGTGCTTCACTGCTGGAGGCTCGGCTTCAAGAAGTGACGCTGAGTCTCAATGTTGTCCAAACACTGAGCAAATCATCGCCGGTTAACAATCAATTTCTTGCCGAGATAGCTACAAGATTGAAACACAGATCGTTCTGCTGAGCAGAAAAGGTGATGAAGGAAATTCAAAACGCTTAATTTATTAATGCCAATCAATTTGCAGAGCCACCATTTGTTGAATTAATTTTTCTTTCAAAATCCTTTCGAAGTTTGATCTTACAATGCCTATGCTAATTAATACTCCAAACCTCAGGAAGGAGTTCAACCCGTTTTTGACCCTTACGCGAACTTGCGCTGGGTACTATATCACCAAAACCGTACTCTGCCATCACTCGTTCGTATTTATCATGGCAAAAATCACGTTCGCGACTTTTCTGATTTTTAGTATCGACTATACCAGGGTGAATCTTTGATAAATACGTTGCACTGCTCGTGCGGAGCAGTGGTTGGAGGTACTCTGCGTCGCACAAACGGTCGATGTTTCGATCTCGCGCTCATGGCTCATCAGGCCTTCCCTCAACCCACGATCGGTACATTGGTTCCATACTTGTCTGGGAGGATAAAGCACTGAGTTGGTTTATCGGCAGGCCACTGTGAGTCATTATAGAGGCCAGTTATGCATTCAACCACGTCAAACGATGCCCAGAATTGAAGACGAATACATGGCGCATCAGACTGGTCAAAGGCGAAAACTTTAATCTTTTACATCGCGCTACGCTCTCGATAATACGTCCTCTACCTGTTTTGAGCTATTTGCATAGCGCATTTCCTCTAAATGCCCACGAATCAGCTGTAGAAGATCTACTAATTCAAGTAAGAAGACTAAGGTACGAAGTCATTGGCCTGGCTGAGGTGAGAGGACGCCACCCTTTTCACGCTGTTTATGACATCGGAGAAGAACTGTTTCTTGGAACATGTGATCGCAGAGGTGTCGGCGGCGTTGGAGTCATCGTCAAATCGAATTTGACCGTGAACGTCGATTCATTCGAACAACTATCAACCGGTATCGGACTATTGCGGTTGAAACAACGTGGATCAGTGCCGGCTTTATGATGTGATCTAGCATCAGTATTTTCAAAGTAAAAAACATTTTTTTTACCCATCTAGAGGTCACGAGCTTTCGAATCACATCAAACAGGATAAGAAAGACCAAGAAATATTTTTTGTAAATAAGTAAAAATTACAATTAGTTTCTAACCTAATAATATTGCCAAACTTCACTACTAGCAGCATAGAGGAAGCAAATTGATATCATTGAGTAAATAACGTAGATTCAGCATCCGACTCCAGGAGCGAATAATTGCAAAGACTGTCTCGCCATTTGACAAACACCAGACACACGTTTTTATGCTCCGAAGCACTTCATTCTTATTGGATGATTTGAATCTATAATGCTCAGTCATAAATTTGGACCAGAATTCGAGCTTTCGTCGATGATAATGCATGATTAGAGGAGTATTATAACTCACTTCACCGAACTGTAACGCTAATGAGGAATGCGCGGACCACTGCGGAAGGCAAGTCAACTGGAGATGTAAGCATGTGAGCATCTTCCTTTATGAGCAATATCCGGCGCCCACTACCAGTAATTTCGGTGGCAACTCTTAACTGACTAACTCTTCGTTTATTGAAAGCGAAAACAAGGAAATCAGACTGAGGATCAACGATTTCACCAGAGTACCAGTACTCTCTATTAGGCAAACTAGAACTAGTTATTCGCCATGTTAATTCTGCTAGCCTCGGTACTCATATTTCTTACATTCACTGTTTCTCTATAATCTAATCAATTCTTTATTCCATGATTCACATTACATTCGAATACACCATTGCTTTTCCCCCATATATATATATATATATATATATATATATAACCTTATATAGATACTTATATGTAGGTATATATATAATCTTACAATATATATATATATACATATATATACGTATATATAATCTTACATATATGCGCATATATATAATCTTATAAATATATATATATATATATCATATATGTCTCATATATATCTCATTATATATCTTATATATATTTATATATATCTTCCTCTAATATTAATTAAAAACAATCGGCGCCAAACAGCACAGGGGCAAAATAACATCAAGTTACGAAATCACGCCAGACCGTAAATAGCCTATGCCAAACGACGCATGGTTACGAAATCCTGGCACATCGTCTCTAAGCCTCTCCCCAATGACGACCATCGTCTCAATTGTCACCTTACGGCTGCCACCTATTACTTGTTTCTGTGGACCTTTATTTGAATTGAAAAGTTAGAAGCTCTATACAATCCCCTCTATAGCAGTTGTGTACTTCAAACCTCTAATTTGCTGAGAATGAAACTGTTTTGTGAACTTTACTGAACTTTTATTTATGCATCTCGATTTTATCTCTTTCGTGCTTGCTTTTGCCCTCTTTTACTATGCCATTCAGTTATCGAAGTATTTACTGGACGAATTTTTTGAAAAGCATCTATAGATAAACTATGACCATTTCAAGATAATGAAGTACAGGAAAAAGTATACACGCAGGCCGATGGGAATTTTGAAACGTTCGGTGAAAGATATTCAAATCGCGTTGAAGAAAGCTGGAAGGGATATGGAGGACAGTGGTCTCAGGTGATACACTTGTCTATTTCAAAAATTTAAGTTTACAAGCCAGAAATTCAAGTTTCAATTTTTTATAATAAATTTCACGATTTCTCCTTCTCACGCTCATTTCGCTAATCGCAGCTTGTGGGTTACCGACGAAATTCGGTCACTGGTTGGTGATCGTCAAGTGACAACTGTTTATGTCATCGGAAATGGCCATTTCTACTCACCTCAGGAACCAGGAGCACATCAGTTGGCTTTAGTCCGGAGACTGTGCCGTGAATTTGGTGCAAAGATGATTTTTCAGGTATAAGTACTTGTAAATGATAGCATCGATGTGATTCTGTGTTATCAGATCTTATTATCAATTATTGCTTCGAGTTAAGGAGCCTTGCATCACGATACCAGAGAGAGCGTATTTGCGCAAGCTGAAGAAAGTGGTTTATCGCAACGCTACTGATGTTCATGTCCGCTTTGACCTCGACAATCTCCAAAGTGTTTGTGTTGTCGTAGCTATCCACGGTATCCACGACATCGTCAACGAATTCCTCTCTTTCATTTGGCAATCATATTTGCCTCATGTGATCTTGATATGTAATGATTACTCAGACAATCATTGCACCTCTCGTATTCCGTCTTTTTCAAACTTTGGTTTTCTCAAATCTTTCAAAGAATGTGCTACATTCATTCGTTTTCCTCATTACTTTCCACATCCTGCCTCCTTCACCTGTACATCAGTTGCTTATGTTGAAAAAAAAACTCCAACAGTTTGACTTTTACTAGGCGAACTGCCCTCTTATCTAAATAAAATTGCGCGAAAGTCTTTTCCAAGTTAGCCGGCTAATGTTTTGACGAATCAGCCTTTCTCAGAGCCTTTAAACTACCGACGACCTCGCCTATACAGCTATCATACGACCCTGAAGAAGATGAAATATTCGGAACGTTACCTTTCGAATTTTCAAAAGAGAAATACTAAACTCGTGCAAGTCTCTTAGACAGAAGGACAGTTCGTAAGATTTGTTAAAAATAGCACGTCTTTGTAGGAGTTGATTGTGTGCATAATTAATATTCGAAGCTTGTTTACATTAATCAATTTTGTTATTGTATAGTATGTAATCATTCCATTTCCCGCATTATACATAGAAGCACCCGATTTCGCTGTTGATGAGAGAGCTCATTCGTGTTACGTGTAATAAAGGTAAAGGGTAGAGCGTTAATATGTGAAAGATGCGGCATGCATCCGATTCTATTTGACATTTGACACTTGTTGGACGTAACTGAATATATATCTGACTTATAATGGACTAGCTACGTATCAAGTCAGCGTTCATCGTCATTGTCCTGGGAAGATCTATCAGGAATATGTCGAGTTTGGAAAGGTGGGCTGTTTGGTTCTCTTCAAAAGATGCTGGACCAACGATTTCCTTTTTGAATCTGTTTGAAAACCATTGCGGTGATAAGGCCTGATAGTTACCAAAAGTTACAATTTTAAATATTATAAGGTTACAGCTCACAGCATTCCGCGGCTGAGGGCACGATCTACCTTGATCAAAGTCATGGAAACACTACTATCCGGTCTAAAAAAAATATGAGAAGAAATGGGATGTATGTGAGTTATCTATTAAAATGAATGCGTTTATCTCATAAAATAGTGCCCTAATATCTGATCCATTGAGTGTGAATTGTTGTTCAGGTAGCCCCTAAACGTTTTCTTCCGACCAGAGGCACCAAACCTCTTCTACGGATTTTGAGACGGGTGACCTATAAAAGAGTTGGAGAACCAGAACACATATAGGCCTCTGAGAATCAGATGTTGAAGTTTTCCATAATGGTCTTTGTTTTGTATCCCTCTGCATTCTTTTAGCGTTTACTCTGGAATTTTATGATAAGAGCGATTTACTCAATGCTGTGGAGTGGTGTGCAGAAAATATTGCGTCTGCTGGGATTCGAACCCACATTTCACCCTCACAGGGGGCGCGTTCTGAACCTTTGCACTACCGATGCCCGTTTTGACACCACTTTTTCTACGCCACAACACGTTATCAGTCAGCAACCAGCCGTCAACGGTCTGGGGAAACGATTCGTCTATGTCTCATTTGCTAGTTTTAAGACAGTCATAATTTTATTTATTACTTCATTTCTCTTTAGAGACGAACTTGGCCCATATTAGTGACTGGGCTCTATTTAGAAGTAGAAAAACGGTCTATTTCTTAGTCTGTTTCGAAGAAGGTTGATCTTAAATCACCATCTAATCCATATCCAATGGTCAATGAGTTTCGAACTGCGACGTCTACGGTGCTACAAATCTGCGGGATCATGCAGGTCCATCCTGTCTTAGTGTTCTAACTTCAATTTGTATAAACTAGTTTAATCGAAGTAACTAACACTATATTGGAGACCATTTGTCACTTTATTAATGCACTCAGTTGTTCCTCCTACGTCTCCTGGCAATCTTTATTGTTTTGGCCCAGAGAGAAACAACATCTCACTCACTTGCTCACTTTATTCCCCCCTCTCGTCCTCTCTTCTCTTATTATTCGTCTCCTTGAAAAATGATCTTTAGCCAATAAGCGTCATCGCCGCACTATTTGCGATCGACGAACGGATTTTTCGTGTGGTTTGGATGTTCAGCGTCCGAATGTGGAAGAAGATGTCGGAGGTAGCGTGCGTAGTATTCATCAAACAGTTGGCTTAAACTAGTTGAGTTCAGTGTTGTATCTTCTCCCTCTCTTTCTCGGTTTCTCATACCTGTACCTCATCTTCGTTTTACACTCCACCATAGCTTTTCTTAGTCTCTGTAACTCATTTTCATAACATTCCTTCAGAATACAGTTATACTTACCTATACATCTAATTCATGTCCTACGTCTGTTGAACTCGAGATTTATCCTTTCAGCTTTGGTGCCACACCAAGAGTCACAGCTCGTGGAAATCTGCTCGTCGAATGGAGAAGCGAGGGTGACGGACGTGGGATGTTCGGATAGCGAGTCCAGTTCCTGACTGAGAGCTCAGGATGGAATCCTTACGGGTGAATAACGCTGAAGCTTGATCATTATTACTTATCATCACAATCTATACTGTTTAGACAAATTGTACCATATGTGGACGACAATCAAGACTATTCATAGACACTCACAGGTCTTCAACAAGAACACACTTACTCCGTTCACATTCAGGTAATGTTTGGGTTAGTTTTTTCATGGGAATGCAGGTAATGGTAAAGTTATTCAAGCATCTTGGACATTTAAACAAATGAGAAGCGAAATTATCCCTAGTGAAAGCTCATAACTCTTCAAGCTCTTCATAGATTATTCATGATGGGCTTTTTAGGTTTTGAATAGAAATTTGTACGTCATGTACTTAAGTCCTGAAGCATCCGCCAGTAGTAGCTGTACAGGTCTGTGAAAGTGTTCGCAAACTTCGAATAATTATTTATTTGAGAAATGCTTTCTCTTTTCTAGATTGCAAGGCACACTTTCGTAATGCGAGGATCAAATAGACATGTTCTGTCAGTGCAGTCCCGCTGGTTAATTGGAATTCAGGTGCTGTGGATCGCATTCCTGGATTTATGGATTGCATCGAATGCAATTCGTTCTCAATTTTATTATTTTTTGAACCCTTTCTGTTCAGTTTATTAGAAGACTCGATTACTTATCCAAATAAATTTAGTCGTATTACGGCTAAAGGTTGATAAACTAAGGTTACTGTGAGCCTATTTCTTTTACAAATATTTTTCTCTTAGTTCGAGTTGATATGTTCATTTAGCACGATACCATCCACCCTTATATCTTTGAATGCAGGCTCCTGATGCTTCACACATGCGCGTAAACTGGGCAGTTCCACCCCAAAGTACTTGGGGATGTGTTGACACTCAATATTAATATGAAATCCAGGTGAGATCATGGTCTCTTTGGGTTCTTTATCACGATAAATAGAAATTGAATTTGAACCATCTCATCGTAGGTAGATGAGCCGAGAGATATCCAGCCAGTCATTGTTCCTGGTAGTCAGAGTAGCCACATATTCACCAGTCAGCCAAATCAGCAATAGTGAGTGAAACGCTTGTGTCACTTGCAATTCATTGATTTATGTGTTATCGAAACGTATTTGCTGTTGAATTAGCTCACTAATAGTTAAACCCAGTTCTTTGCCATCTACTAAGAAAAAACGTTCTTGTTTGGGTGATATATTAAGAGTGCGTTTCTGATACCCTTTCCTTTCAAGGCCATTCCGAATGTGTGCGGAAAATGTGGCTGGGCACTCGGCGTGGGCAGCTCCAGCAGAAGTGCGAACGTCACCAGGTGGAGAATTGATCATCGGACCAAATGTCGCCTATCGGTCAGCTCCGAAATGCTCATCTATTTCTAGTTTCATTTTATAACTAGAAAGTTATATGCTTAAGTGATCTCTTTCATCAGACAAGGAAACCCAATCATCATGTGGCAATCAAAGGAGAAGGTCGACGGCCTTGTTGACAATTTCATTGTCGAGTGGAAAGCAACTACCGAGTGGGGTTGGCGACAGCATAGTGATGCGATAAGTGAGCATGCATAATTTAGGGTTTTCAAGTGGGCAGTCTCAATAAAAGCCATTTGGGCGGCCTTACAACTATACTTCAATTTGCTTCAGAGAAAAACGAAGAGCTGACTTCTATCTAGATCAGGAATTTGTGTGGATAAGTATCATACATTATTACTTTTCGCATATCCCAAAATTCTTCTGTCCAGCCTCTCGAGCGAACGTGTAACATATCTCAGGATACCATACTCGGGATCGCAGCGACCCTACTCACTTGGTCTAGCGAGCTTCCCAAGGGTCACATTTATCGGGTACTGTCTTATCTACTAGTGAGTACAGCGTCAAAAATACCAAGAGCTTTACATCAACGGACTTTGTGATTAACCGCCTGGGTTAAAGGTGCGCGTGGTCATGCAGGACCATAACCGTGATACTGCTTTCATATCGCCGATAGTTCAAGTGCATACGCGATCTACCTGCCAGCCACCGAAACACTCTTGCTTTGATCCCAAGTAGATTCTTTCATTTAAGCAGCTAGTGTACCATTATTTTCGATTTGAACTAGCAATAAGTTGACTATTGAATGTGTAGAATCACTGCACCTATGTTTACTAGTGAATTTAAAATAGAAGCGAGGCTGTGAGATATAGTATAATTCAGTTGTAGGTCTCTCCTATTGGTCCTATACTAATCAGGCTCACATGGGCTCCGCTTCATGAATACGAATGGAACTGTGATCGAATATGGAGCATTTTCAAATACAGTACACCGAAAAACCAAGACATTACGGATCTCACGCAAGGCGAGAATTCGGCTGTGTTCGAATCCGACCCATACAGGAAGTGAGTTCTCTAACAGATTCTGTTGAACAATGAATTCACCACACAAGAACTGCGAGAAAAAAATGAGTTAAATTATTTAACAGACAATAGGTAGTTTCAAGTAGATTCCGTAAAAAATCAAACATAACGCATATTTTTTTCTTACAGTCATCAAAGATCCTCTGTTTGAAATTTATAAGATGATTTTTTGAATCAGAAATTTTTGTATCCATTCCGAAAGCAAAAATTTCTTAATCAATTTTTTGAATCCATGCATTGTAAGTTAAACAGACGGCGTACTGCAGAGCCAAAGTTCCTGTTCATGTGGAGTCTTGAAGTAAGAGCAGCTAATCTGGCAGGAGAGACGCAGTGGTCGAGAACTGAGACCGCACAAACTCAGATAAGTTTATCTTAGTGCCCATATATTCATCACATGTTCTAATGGCTTCATAACTAGGATGCGACTCCTGGGCCTGTAGTCGATTTTCGAGTGCAGGCAGTTGGTCTGGACAGAGTGCAAGTCAATTGGAGGCCTCCATTGTATTTAAACAGGCGCATTACTCAATATGAGGCTACCTATCAGTTAATCACCAGGTGGGTCATTTAGCCAATTGTGCTTCAGTGATGATTCTCTTAATTCCATCAATCACTAGGCAAGCGTTCCAACGCGTAATCTATCTACTATGCAGCAGAGGAGAACAGCAAGTTCTAATTGTGAAGAAGAAGATCAAGTAAGAAATGCCATAGTCATTCCGGAATTCTCACTTATTCTAATAGTGGAGACGTGTTAGGTCTAGTGCATAAAGCTGACCTGCAATGCATGATCCTTTCTGGTTTCCAAACCTCGGACGAACTAAGCTTCCTATTTTTCCAGAGTCAAGAATATGGTAATAAACATGTCTAGAAGATTGAGGAGACCGAATCGGTACTGGTGGCCTCCACAGGTTCATAGGCTGGTGTGTATCAAATCTTTTCAAGATGCCTAATTGAGTCGATTACATAAGACATCCCTTAAATAATGATCAACACCAAACGCTCAGTCACTTCTCCTCTTGTCCTTTATTCCACCTAAATCCAATTTATTCGCATTCTCGTCATTAGACCTTTTGCCAAGTGTTTATCGATAATCAGCCATGAGTGCTCGTACGTCAAAGCGAAGCCTTACAATACCTTATACCTATGTTGGTAGCTTAAGGCCGTATGGCGATGAATGATTACTTCTCGGAAAAAATGTTAGAGTTCTCCTCAAATTTAGAATTTCTTGGAAATATTCGAATATTCTGTAGCTTCAATAGCAAACACTGGAAATATGAGCACGAGAACATGGATGGAATGATCGAGATTATTGGAATATTAGGGGAGTGTGTGACCATCAGCTAGTTGTGCCGCTGACGATATCAATTACAATGCTTCGTCATGTCATCACTGGACTGCACCCACATTCTCGCTACATGTGCTCTGATGGCGAACCAGCCAGATGCCGTCATTCTCATTATACTCTCTTCGCAGCACTTATCTTCTGTTCAGAGTAGAAGTAGCGACAGGGAGAGCAATCACAAGCGAAGGCGTATCGCAGGAGGCCCAAACTGAGCAGTCGACGCCCTCTACACTTCTAACGTATCTCCGAGTCGAAGAGGCTAGAGATAACGACACCAGCATCAGTTG